AAAACACACATTACATCAGTGAGATTAAACTTGATAAAAAGATGTATGCAGTGCACAAGCACGCGTTTCAGAAAAAACAAATTAGATATAAGTGGTTTTTTTTTTTCAGTATGGGGATTAGAAGTTATTCTTATTTGTTTCTTCTTTTGAGACAGGGTCTTAATCTTAGGCTGGTGTTCAGTAGCCAAGCAATTGCTTACTGCAAGCTCAAACTCCTAGGCTCAAGTAGTCCTCTCTCTTCATCCTCGTTGGTAGTTGGGACTACAGGATCATGCCACCATACCCAGCTAATTTTTTTTTTTTAAGTTGAGAAAGAGTTTCACTGCATTGCTCAAGTTGGTCTTGAACTCCTGGCCTCAAGCAGTCCTTTTTTCTTTGTCTCCCAAAATTCTGAGATTTTAAGTGTGAGCCACAATGCACAGCCAATTTTTTTTTTTTTTTTTTTTTTTCGGATACAGAGTCTTGTTTTGTTGCCCAGGCTAGAGTGCAATGACAAGATTATGGCTCACTGCAGCCTCAACCTCTTGGGCTCAAGCAGTTCTCCGGTCTCAGCCCCCTAAGTAGCTGTGACCACAGGCACCCACAATCACGATTGGCTAATTTTTGTATTTTTTGTAAAGATGGGGTCTCACCATCTTGCCCAGGCTGCCCAGGCTGGTTTTAAATTCCTGGGTTCAAGCATTCCACCTGTCTCAGCCTCCCAGAGTGTTATGATTACTGGAGTGAGCCACAGAACCCAATCTGGCCAAAAAAATTAAGTTTATGGCACTTACTAGTTTTTTGAGGAAATAGGCATTCTCACATTAGTTACGAAAGGTAATAAATTTTTAGGAGTCTTTGTTGGGATTATTTTAGCAATATTGCTAGCTGTGATGGTTCACACCTGTAATCGCAGCACTTGGATTCCCTCCTTTGAACCTTGGAGTTGAAGACCAGCCTGGTCAACCTAGTGAGACCTCCCACCCCCCCACCACCCCCCACCCCCCGTCTACAAAAAAATACAAAAATTAGCCAGGCATGTTGGTAAGTGCCGGTAGCCTCAGCTACTTTGGAGACTGAGATAAGAGGATTGCTTGAGTGTGGGAGGTAGAGGCACTAGTGAGTTACGATCACACCACTGTACTCCATCCTGGGTGAAAGAGCAAGACCTTATCTCAAAAAAAAAAACCACAAAACCTGTGTGTGTGTGCACGCATGTGTGTGTGTGTGTGTGTTTGTAGAATACTTTTCTATTTTATACTGGTTTATTCCTCCTTTATTGGTTTAGAAGCTACTAGGTGTTTTGTTTTCTCATCTGCAACTAGGATGCCTGCAACTGCAGACATGCACCATCATATTCGGCTAATTTTGCAGTTTTTTAATGAAGATAGTGTCTTGCTGTCACCCAGGCTGGAGTGCAGTGGTGTGATCATAGCTCACCATAGCCATGACCTTTCAGGCTTAAGACATCCTCCACTGCCTCAACCTCTGGAGTAGCTGGAATCACAGGTACACCACCACACCCAGTTAATTTTTAAATTATTTATTTTTAATTTTTTTTTCTTCTTTTTTTTTTTAAAGACAGGGGTTCTCCATGTTGGCCAGGCTCGTCTCAAACTCCTGACCTCAGATGATCTGCCTGCCTCAGCCTCCCAAAGTACTGTGATTACAGGCATGAGCCACCATGCCTGGCTTTTTAAAGTTTTTCTAGAGAAGGTATCTCACTATTTGCCCAGACTTGTCTGGAACTCCTGGTCTCCAGTGATCCGCCTCCATTAGCCTCCCAGAATGCTGAGATTACAGAATTAAGTGACTGCACCTGGCCTAAGCTATATTTTAGACTGGATGCCCTTGATTATTCTTATTTGTCTTCCAATTCAGCTGATCTCTAAGCTTGAATCTTCCTGCAAAGTCATGGAAAATTACTGTTAAATCATGGGTGCTTATCTTTTACCTTTATTTATCAAAACTGCAGTAATATATTATGTTTAAGAGTTTGGGATATTTCTGGTTGTGGGAAGAAATTGGTAGCTGTAACCCAAGAAAGCTTACTAATATAAAGGTGTGGTCAACTTTACATTGAAGTGCAAAAAAATGCCCTTTTGCCTCTGTCAGTTTTCACCATGATAAAATAGGACAATAACCAGTCAAATATGTTGCTGAAGAATGATTGCTCACTGTAGTAAAGATTGTATTGGTGGGCAGCCCTTATCATAGGCTGAAGTATGTAGTAGGGAAAGTATGTGACAAAAAGTTAGAGCTAACCCTCTTTCATTTAAGACTTGAATTAGTAGCTGTTATGCTAGAGTCCTAGAATGTAACAATTAGTGATTGGTTTCTCACTTATTTGCGTTCTTTTTCTCCTTTTCATTGCTTGTTTCAGAATGATTAAATCAGAATTTAGTTGTGTGTCACCCATGTCTGGTTATGTAAATGGTAAACTGTCATCACATCCCTGATGCACTGATACCAACATTTTCCTGCATTTATAAATATTTGTAACTATCAGCAGTTATTGACCCTGCTAATGACAATTTTTAAGACCTTCACATTTTTAAGACCTCATCTTCTGGAAAACTCTAGGATGTTCAATGTCAGGTTAAGCACATAAAGATTGTTTGAAAAATGACATGCTGTCCATGTAAGTTGCAAAGTTGAGTAATAACAGCAAATTAGTCTTTTGTGGTAGCTTGAGTTAATAATAAGATATTCCCTGAACACTGAAGAACTGCTTCTTAGTAAAGGACTGATCAAAAGCAGTGCTTTCAGAAGATTCATCTGGCTGCAGATTGTAGGAATGCCTTGTTAGTTGACGTTACAAGACTCCCTTCTTATAAAATGGTTACTTGTGATCTGTTTTCCAAGTCTTACAAAGGCCATTTTCATTACCAGGGGTCAGGAAATACAAAGCTTAGAATGAATGGTGATAATGGGAATACAAGCAAGGCAAGGATGACATAGAAATAGTGGAGAAAAAATTGATAAGATCCAGGAAACCAACTGTCAGAGAAGGAGGAAAAGGCCATGGTGATTGTGCTAGGGGAAAGCTGGGTCTTAATTTATGAAGATATTTCAGGAAACAGATGGAAATGTTATCTCCTTCTGAGTGTTTGGATTTGGGGGAACATCTTCATGCAAGTGGTCATTAAAAACTGTGGAAATAAATGAGAAAGTAGTAGAGAAAAAAAATGAATGTGGAACTTTGGGCCTATAGTAGCCATCAGTTAAGAAGGTGAGAGGAAAACCAGGATATTATATAAAGAGGAAGGAGCAAGTTTCAAAATTAAAGGAACTGATCATCTGTCATAGTCTTAACAGAAAAGCTAAGGAAGATGAATATCTAAATCGGGAACGTTATTCTACCAGTTGATCTTTTATTAGAGCTAACGAAATTGCCGTTTTTGGAAAAATCAGAAGGTCGCTTCAAGAACCCAACAGATCACGTATATTGCATTATTAATTAATTACCTTAATTTCATGTGTTTTTCTTTATGCTGAGAAGATTAGTTTGCATTTATCCTTTTATAATTATATTTTTTAAAAAGAGGAAGAATTAATACAGCCAGAGGTAGTTTGGGTTGAGGGAGCATGACAGCTTATTTAGAGCAGTTAAGGTACCTTTTCTGTTTCTTTGTGGTTGACAAAATATTAATGTAGTCATTACAGCCTTTTTATTTGAAGTAGTTTGAATGTCATAAAACAGACTTTAAGTAGATCGGTCTCAGAGTTGGCACATTGGAAATTTATTTGTTTCTCACTTGCATATTGCCTTATCATAGTTTAATATTTGAAAATTGACACACATAAGTGACCATAGTATATGCCAAAAATAGAGCAAGGGAGCTGGACCTAGTGGCATGTGCTAGGAGTCCTAGCTGCTTGGGAGGCTGAGGTAAGAGGATTACTTGAGTCTAGGAGTTTGAGGCTGCAGTAAGCTATGATCATGCTATTGCACTCCAGTCTGGGTGACAGGGTGAGACCCTGTCAAGGCAAGGAAAGTGGGAGGCATTTTAAAATACACAGAAATCTGAAGAGTGCTTATAATTATTAGGAATTTTAAGTTTTTATCATTTTGTTAATTTACTAGTAGGAAGATTGGAGACTACATTAAATATAGAGTTGTAATAGAATCTTGCAACAGAAATCTACAAAATGTGTTAAAATTAAGACTTAAAGAATCATGGGGTCCAGACACAAAAACACTCTTGTAGTCCCAGAACTTATGAGGGTAAGGTGGGAGAACTGCTTAAACTCAAGAGTTCGACACCAGCCTGGGCAACATAGTGAGACTTTGTCTCTCAAAAAAGTATTTTAAAAATTACCCAGGTTCAGTGGCACACGCCTGTAGTCCCAGCTAATTGGGCTTAGGGGAAAGCATTGCTTGAGCCTATGAAGTGGAGGCTGCAGTGAACTGTGCCAATCATAGTCTAGTCTGAATGACAGACAGAGACGCTTTTTACCAAAAAAAAAAAAGTCATGAGAGCTACTGATAGAAGGCAAGAGGGAGTCATCTGGTGTGTAAGAAAAGTTCTGTATCTTAATTAAATAATACAAATACAAGCTAATGCTTATGTAAGAATTTGTTATGCTGAATACTTAAGCATTGTACATTGTATGTAGGATGATAACTGAACTTTTAAGAAACCTAAAAAAGCTGGCTATGGTGGCCTGTAGTTCCACCTACTTAGTAGGCTGAGAGGAAAGAATGACTTGAGCCCTGGAAGTAATTCTAGGCTAGTGTGAGGAACATAGCAAGACCCAATATCTTAAAAAAAAAATTATTTTTTAAACCAGAAACACTGTCAGCCTGTTTGATTTGATTTACCTGCCCTTTCTTGTTCTGTTACAGCACATGTATCACTGAAATCAATTTGTTCCCTTTAATTTTACATTGATAGGTTATTGAAAAATAATTTGAGAATTTCAGACATATGATTATGATGACACATTATGATCATATCACATCATTTTAATATGTGATATAAAAATTAATGTTTGGTATACTTTATTCCCTGGTTTAGGAGCTGTGACTAATGAGAATTAAAGGCCATGGATGAAGATGAATTTGAATTGCAGCCACAAGAGCCAAACTCATTTTTTGATGGAATAGGTATAACTATTTCTTGGGTTGTTTCACCTCCCATCTGCCGGATTTGGAATTACTTATCAAAATTGCAGAATCTGATATTAATTCATACTTAAGTACTTAGGTCCATACTTAGATCCTATCAGAATCTCATAATGTTGTTAGTTAAACCATCAGTATCAAAATCTTATTACTATCCTTCAGTTACTCTAATTTTTCCTGTTATGTTACTAGATCCTGTTAGTTCTCCCTTTAAAATGCTTTCTATTTGTATTTTCTATTTCTTCAGTGATAAATTTCAACACATTTACTAATCTAAAACAAGACAAATTTACCTCAGTTCTGTAGGTCAGAAATGTGACTCAACCAAGTTCTCTGTGTAGAGTTACACAAGGATAAAATCAAAGTGTTGTTCACACGTGATGGCTTATATCTGTAATCCCAGTGCTTTGGATAGCTGAATTGTGAGGATTGCTTGAGGTCAGGAATTAGAGACCATCCTGGGCTCTGGGCAACACAATGAAAACCTGTCTCTAAAAAAAAAAAAAAATTAATTAATTAATTAATTAATTAGCTGAGCATGGTGGTGCATATACTTCTAGTTTTAGCTGTTCTGGAGGCTGAGGTAGGAGGATTGCACAACTGCCCTGCAGCCTCGATAACAGAGCTAGACAGTGTCTTAAAAAAATATATCAAGAAACAAGTTATCTGCAGGGCTAGATGCTCTTAAAAATATCCGTACTTTTGGCTAATTTAGTTTCTTTTTGTTGTACAATGGAGGGGCTCTTTGTTGTTTCCTACAGTTAATCAGCCATGGCCATTTTTTGCTTCTGTAGCTTGCCTGCATTTCTTCTCATGCTTTGCATGGTGGTTTCCTCAAGCAACAGTGAGTGGAGTCTCCCTCATGCTTTGATCTTTCTGACCTTCCTTTCTATCACATACATCTCCTTGAAGAACTTTTGCCATGTCATGTAACATATTTTTATAAGATTTACAGGGATTAGGGTATGGATGGACATCTTTGTGAAACCATTTTGTCTGCATGCTACTTCTCAAATATTTATGTCTCTGTCAAATAACATCCACTCTCTCTTAATGTTCCCAGCCGCCCCCCCGCCCCAAAAAAATCTTAGCTGAAATTAATCCTCTCAGAAGTCTTAAATGTCATTTAAATCAGAAGTTTATGATTCTCTTCTGATAGCAGTCATTAAGAGCAACTGGTGGGACACAATTTTTCTTTTATCCATTGGCCAGTAAAGCCAGAGAAGCACGTTACCTGCTTCACAACGTACAATTACAGGAAACTTTGGGATATTTGTGTGCAAACAGGATAAAATAAAAGATAAGAAAGAAATTTTGTCTAAAGAAATTTTGAAATGCAGCCAGACAAACTTCCATTAGATTTCGAGACCTGGAAATAACCCTTTGTGGCCTGTGGCTCTGCCCTTTAAGTCTTCCTTGCTGTTTTCTTCAAAGATAGCAGGTGTTTGCAGCTGAATAGTTTTATTTCCTGCTTCCTGCCTATGGATTTCTGGCATGCAACAATCTTCTTTATATTAATTCTGTGTCCTTTTCAGGTTAAGCTACCAGTGCTTCTTTTGAAATAAATTTTGTGCGTGTCATCAGCATTTATTGTATTAGGCAAGAGGCTCATATGTTTTTTTCTGAGATGATCCTATGTCTATTTTTGACTTCTGCTAAAATGGATGAAGTCCAATAGCCTTATGTTTCTTAGAAGCACTGAAGTAAGTCATACTCTTAATTGCTTCAAAAAGACTTAATTCTCTGACCTTTTGATCTTTCCTTTTTTTCTCTCTCCACTTCCTTTCCTTTTTATTTCTACTCCACTTCCTTTCCTTTTTCTACCTTATCTTATCTTGTCTTCCCTTCCCTTTCCTTCTCTTTCTTTACCTGGCCTTGCCTTACTTTACCTTATCCTTTGTCTTTTCATTTCCCTTCCTCATTTTCTTTTACCTTGGCCATTCCTTTCCTTTCCTTTTTACTTAACTTTTGCTTTTCTTGTTTAATGATCTGGAGCCTGAAGGAAACTTTTGTTCTTTCTGAGGTTTCATGGAGTTGAGAATCACATACTGTTTTTTTTTTTCTCTCTCTCTCTCTCAATCAGCAGTCCACACCCTTTTTGGCACCAGGGACTGGTTTCAGGGAAGACAGTTTTTCCATGGACCTGGGAGTAGAGGGGTTTGGAAAATATTTACCAGATAAATCAAGTGCAATACTTTGTGCAGTTTATTTCTATTATTATTACATGTAATATATAATAAAATAATTATAGAGCTCACCATAATGTAGAATCAATGGGAGCCCTGAGTTTGTTTTCCTGAAACTGTGCCATCCCTTCTGTGGATGATGGGAGACAGTGGCAGATCATCAGGCATTATATTCTCATAAGGAGCACAAAATATATATCTCTTGCATGTGCAGTTTACAGTATGGTTTTTACTCCTATGAGAATGTAATGCTGCTGCTTCTGGCCCGATAGGAGGCAAGAACTCAGGCTGTAAATACAGATGAGGGTTTGCTATGACAAGAAATCTTGATTTAACCTCCCCTTTCACTCTTCAGATAGACTGAAAACTTCTCATTTGTCATGTTCTGCTACCTTTTTGTTCAATAAAACTTCCTTAATAAATTTTCCAACAATTCATTTTCCTCACTGAATTTTCCTCTATAAGCAGTAAGAAGATACAAGACCATATCTCCAACACTTTGCTAAAATCTTCTGAGCTAAAGACTTCATTGTTACAAGTTGTGCTTTTTGTGTAACCCAGGGATACAATTTTGCTTGGTGATCTTCCTTTTTATGTAACAAAGATCTGTCTTCCTATAGTTACCAAAATCACTTTTAAGCCCTCACAAGCAGTGTTATTAAACTGGATTTCTACTAGCAGTGTTACATGACTTAGTTATTCTCTGAATCCATGTAGCATTTCTCTGCCTTGATCTCTTCTCCCTCTGGATTCTCACTGGCAGAGTTGTTACTGTTTTGTATTTGTTGTTGTTGTTTTTGAGATAGGGTCTCATTGTATCACCAGGGTTAGAGGGCAGTGGTATGATTATGGCTCCTCACTGCAGCCTCAACCTCCTGGACTCAAATGATCCACCCACTTCAGCCTTTTGGGTAACTGGAACTACTGACACACACCAATGTGCCTGGTGAATATATATATATATATATAATTCTTGGTAGAGACAAGGTTTTGCTGTGTTGCTCAGGCTGATCTTAAACTCCTTAGCTTAAGCTATCCTCCCATCTCAGGCTCCCAAAATGTAGCCATTACAAGCATAAGCGACTGTGCCTGGCCTGTTACTATAAACATTCATATTTTTACTACTGGTTTATTTAAGGAAATCTGGGCTTTTGCCTGCTCAGCTAAGCTTTTGATTCCTTAAAAAAAATTTTTTTTTTCATTTCCCATAGAGCTGGAATTTCTCTTCATTCTTGTAAGAAATTTTATAGCCTGCACTTATCCAATTGCAAAGCCACTTTACATTTTTCAGTATTTGTATAAAAGCAGCTATCCACTTCTTGGCACCAAAACGGAAATTATTTGCTACTCCAAAGAAAATTACTACTGACTCAGCAATTCCTCCAGAATGGATCCTGTCCTAATTTTTGTAACCTTTTCACATAATTACAAAAGGAGCCTCTGTATCAGGCAGATGCATCCTTACCTCATTTCTGAAACTGCAAAAAGAAAATCATACTTAAACAAGAAGGGGAAAAAGTATTCTCAATTTCGTATTGCTCATGATTCTAAGTATATAATACTGTAAACTAATTGTACTAGATTTTATTTTTTCTATTTTGTACTCTTGTAAGTTAAAATTTTAATTATTTTTGTTAACTGAATTTTAAATGAACATTGCCATTAACAACCTGAAATTCCCTAACACTGGATCAAAAGAATATCCTAAATTGCTTAGAAAACACACACACACACACACACGCACAATTTAGAAAGTTTATTTAAAATTCTTTATGTTTCTTGTTAAAGTTAATTACTATTGCGAACATATGGCAATGTTCATTTAAAATCCAGTTAATAAAATCAGTATTTTTTTAGAGTAATCTTGCCACATTCAAGCCCAAGTCACTGGTTAAACAGTAGATTGAAGGGCTATATTACATTTTTGTCTTGATTGTTAATACTTGAAATGGTAAAATGGCTTCCATTTTTATATATATAATAATGAAACATCTGATTACATTTTTTCAGGACACTTATCATGCATTCCCATTTGATCCTGATAGTTCTGTGAGGTATGCATGACATACTACTGTCCTCATTTTACTTATGAGGAAACTAAATTCCGAGGTTAAATGACTTGTCCAAGATCACAAAACTAATAAGTATCTAAACCTTGCCCTCTGATTTAGACCACTGAACGGTGCTCTTGCCACTAAATGCTTTCAAATTTATGTCTGTGGAATGGAGATGACACTGTTCTTTTGCTTAGTGTGTCTTATTACTAACATAGACAACAAATGAGTAGAAAGCATTTTTTTAAATTTTTTTTGAGACGGAGTTTCGCTCTTGTTACCCAGGCTGCAGTGCAGTGGCGTGATTTCGGCTCACTGCAACCTCTGCCTCCTGGGTTCAGGCAGTTCTCCTGCCTCAGCCTCCCAAGTAACTGGGATTACAGGCGCACACCACCATGCCCAGCTAATTTTTTGTATTTTTAGTAGAGAAGGGGTTTCAGCATGTTGACCAGGATGGTCTCAATCTCTTGACCTTGTGATCCACCCGCCTAGGCCTCCCAAAGTTCTGGGATTACAGGCTTGAGCTACTGTGCCCAGCCTTTTTTTTTTTTTTTTTTTTTTTAAGGATAATCAAATGAAGTAGTGGGAGTGGAGAAGGAAAAAAAGTCTTAACTGCTTGTGATATGTGAATAGCTTGTAATATGTCTTCTATGTTTGCCTTTCTCTATATACTAGTAGCCATAATGACTGATTTATTTTATATTTCATTATATTTTTGTTAAAGATGTATGAAGTATCTTCCCATTTGTGGTGTTCATGTAGAATAATATTTACTGAGCATCATATCCTATGCCAGTTGTGTGATCTTGGTTAAGTGATTTGATCTCGGTGGCCTTAACCGGCTCTCACCCTTCTACCTTCATTGCTTAACTAGAAAATATTTTTCTAAATTCTTGGGATTTGGGGTTAATGGGGACACAAGGAGGATAGATGGAGCTAGAATACCCTGGCAAAGTTAGAGCAGGCCCCACTCCAACCACCCCTGCCCTTCACTACCCAGTGCAGTCCAGCTGCACTTTTATTCATTTTATCCATAGAGACTTCTCAACCTAATGTCTTTCCTCACACACTTTTATTTCTCTTTTAATTTCTACCCAGATTCTTTTGTCTTAGATTCAAAGAATGACTTTCTTATTACCAAAGTTATATTGGATATTGGTGGAATATTGCACCAGGGCAAAGTGGAAAGATTATAAACGCTGAAAGAGAAAAAAGAAAGGGTAAAAAAAAAATATGTGGTATAATTAAAAAATGAAAAGTAATGTGTTGAGAAAGGAGATAGTGAAAGAAGGAAAAGAAAAGAAGAAAACATTTAAATATAACAAAGAAATGGTATATGTGTTTTCTGAATTTGTTACTTGTTTAACTTATATAAAAATCTCTTAAAGAATTTATTTTAGTGGCCTAGGAATTTTTTTATAATGATGGTTTAAAATGTGTTTCTTGAAGAGTTTTCTTCTGTTATTGCCCCAAGCGTGTTTTTTTTTTTTTTCTTCTTTTTAGTATTACTTTTCTTGTTAGTTTATTAGGGTTGAGGAAAATAAGTTTTCATCTTAAAAATTTCTATTTGTTAAATGAACCAAAAATATATTCATTCTCTGTTTATTTATTGTCTTAATATTTGAGGAACACTAAGGACATAGTCTATTTTCCCAGTAGAAATTAAATAAAAACTGTATTTAGTCATGCGTACTTATCTGAGTTTTGTAATTTTTATTTTTATTTTTTAAGGAGCCGGTGCTACACACATGGATGGTGATCAAATTGTTGTGGAAGTACAAGAAACGGTTTTTGTTTCTAATATTGTAGATTCAGATGTAACTGTGCATAACTTTGTTCCTGATGACCCAGACTCAGTTGTAATCCAAGATGTTATTGAAGATGTTGTCATAGAAGATGTTCAGTGTTCAGATATCTTAGAAGAAACAGATGTATCTGAAAATGTTATCATTCCTGAGCAAGTGCTGGACTCAGATGTAACTGAAGAAGTTTCTGTGTCACACTGCACAGTCCCAGATGATGTTTTAGCTTCTGACATTACTTCATCCTCAGTGTCTATGCCAGAACATGTTTTAACAAGTGAATCCATGCATGTATGTGACATTGGACATGTTGAACATGTGGTACGTGATAATGTAGTGGAAGCAGAAATTATTACTGATCCTCTGACCAGTGACGTAGTTTCAGAAGAAGTATTGATAGCAGACTGTGCCCCTGAAACGATCACAGATGCTGGGATCTCAGTGGACCAGCGAGATGATGACAAAGGCAACTGTGAGGACTACCTAATGATTTCGTGTAAGTCATGGGGTATAATATTTTTAGCAATGTTTTTGAAACATGTATTTTCTAACATAAATAATGCTAAAATTTTATTGACTTAAACGTCTGCAAAATTAAAAGAGAAATTATAAACCTGAATGCATTTTTACTTAGTTTGAATCCCAGAGGATAAACCAAAATTAAGTGACATGGTACAGCGTAAAGAGTTATTTCTATATTAAGATAAAATACAAGATGAGAAAAATAAAGGATGAAAATAACAGATTTGAGCCTTATGAAATCATAAAAAGTATGATTGTTCTGTTACCTTCAGATTTGCCCCTGAGACTTGGAGTTTTTTTTTTTTAAGTGTTTTTATCATTTCACTTCCCTCTTTTTTCTACCTTATTGTCCTTTTTCAAAAGAATGATTTTTTTGTTGTTTAATTCATTATTGGCTTTGGAGTTAAATCTGGTGAATTCCTGGAAATACATTGGTCATGCTAAACAATTTATTTATGTTTCAAATTGATTTCAAATTTTATATCATACTGGTTTTGTGTTCTGCTGTCTGATCTTTATGGGTTGCTGGCTTTCTTGATTGTGACTTTGTCATCCAGAACATGACTGGACATAGCTTTGTTTATGCAGTAGATGCTATAGTCCTTCTGTTCCTAGAATCCCTGACTTGGTGTCTCTAATATTTTTAACTTCAGTATCTAGGTATATTTTCTGCATTAGTAAGGTTATAAATTACAGAATCATTGTGTCATTTACCTGCTGACTTAAATAATTTAGTTATCCTAATTGACAAGTTCACTACTGGGGTCTTTGGAATGAAATTTTATAGTGTAGGTTTAGTTTAGAGCATTCCCATTAACATTAAATACCACCCACATTCCTCCCCCGGTGTCTTTGAGCATAGCACAGCAAGAGAGTTGTGCAGGCATTTTCATGGTTGCAGGGAGAGTAATTACTTCTTACATTATCTAGTATACTATTATGGCCTAGTTTTCTGATCATGATAATTTTCTACTTCTGTCTGAACCTGCTTAATAATTTTCAAGAGCCAGGCCAGGCACAGTGGCTCACGCCTGTAATCCTAGCACTTTGGGATGCTGAGACGGGTGAATCACGAGGTCAGGAGATCAAGACTACCCTGGATAACACTGTGAAAACCCCATCTCTACTAAAAATACAAAAATTTAGCTGGGCATGGTGGCATATGCCTATAATCCCAGCTACTTGGGAGGCTGTTGCAGGAGACTCCCTTGAAACCAGGAGGCAGATGTTGCTGTAAGCTGAGATTGCACCACTGCACTCCAGTCTGAGTGACAGAGCGAGACTGTCTCAAAATAATAATAATTTTCAAAAGCCTGATTCAGGTGATTTAATAAACATTTATTTCTCTGTGTAAAAACTATAAGGGTTTAAATATTTCATATTAATAATTTACAGTTTTTGACCTTGAGCTTATAATCTGATGTGCAAGAAAAAAGGGGGAGTAAGGTGGTATTTAGCTCTTTGAAAAGCAATAAGAAGTATTTTTATATGCTGAATTTATCTAGCTATTTCAATTTTTTTCTAGTTCTTGTTTCTTCCAGAAAAGATGATTATCTCCTCTAATGCTGCATTCGTACTGAAAAGTCCTGTGGGGTAGGGATATGGAAACATTTAGAGTTGACAGGTTTTTCATAAAGTGTATAGGGGAAGTGTGGTCTGATTTTATATTAACATAGAGAAGATTGAGATGCTGTGCTTGACAGTAAGCTTTAATGCTTTCCATAATATCATAAGAGATTAGTTATTTAACACATAGATTAAAGGAGGTAAAACAGTATTTAAAAGAACACTTTACAATTAAAAATATGTTATTGGATCTAAGAACCTGTTAATTTTTATGTCTTTAGTGGCAGGTTTTTCTCCTCTGAAAATCTCATTTAAAATGATGACATAGTCCTCTATGGTATTATGTAGTATATCTGCACAATAGTGCTCATTGTTATAAGTACCATTGAGATCAATGTGACCTCTTTATACAGTCTTTACAATATACATGTTACGTTGGCTTTTAAGTTGATTATATCTTAAGGACAGGTTCCCCTGAAGCTGTGCATATTTGTTGTAAATATTTGTTGAGTGAACATTTACATGAACTTTATAGCTGAACATTTGTGGATATCATCCAAAAACCATCTAGTTTAGTTGTTTTAGCAATCCACCTGGTGTTTCTTTGGTCATAATTCAGTTAAACATTCAGTAAAAATGTTTTACAATGAATAATGTTTTAAAAATGTTTTACAATGAATAAATGAAGCCCAAGCCTTATATGTAAAGCAGTAAAACTATGGATCAATACAATTTGATGATTTGTTTCATGATTCTAGTGGCTATTAGAGCAGGATAGGACTGGTAAAATATTTGTTTGCTGTACTTATTTTATATTTTTTCTATATTTATATACATTGCATATATTATTCTGTTCTGTGACTACTTACTGGATATGTATGTATCTTACATTTTAAGCTACCTACTACTTTTGCTTTGTATCAAATGCTAAATTTGGCAAAACAGTATCAAATGCTAGAATTTAAAAATTTATGTCTATAAGGAATGATTTCTGAAAAGTGTAACAAAATACTTTAAGGAGATTTTTTTCTTTTAAGTTTTGATAAACTTTTGAAACACTTTTTTTTATAAGATTAAAACTAAATGACTTATGTAGGAACTCTCAAACATATTTAGATAACTCTAAGGCAATGTGCAGTATTTCAGAGGAGATAAGGTAATCAAAGAAGATAGAACTTCTAACTGTTGGAATTTAGAAAAGAAGCTGAAGGGAGAAATAATATTATCAAGGTAAAAGACACTATAGAAGCAGCAATAAAATAAATCTGGATAAACATGACTGAGACCTTCTGATTGAGCTTTAGAAGATTGCCAAATGAAATGGTGAAAAAAACAAACATAAAAATGACTATGAACAGGATCAGCAGACATGAGAAACAGAAGACAAAACTGATATGCAGAAAATAAGAAAACAGTTAATGTGATAGAAAATTATGGGAGAAACCTTTCCCGAAATTAGAATGATTCGAGTACATTAATGAAAATGACAGGGTAAAGAACATTGAAGAAAAAAATTTTTTTTTGGAGACGGAGTTTCGCTCTCGTTACCCAGGCTGGAGGGCAATGGCGTGATCTCGGCGCACTGCATCCTCTGCCTCCTGGGTTCAGGCAGTTCTCCTGCCTCAGCCTCCTGAGTAGCTGGGATTACAGGCACGCGCCACTGTGCCCAGCTAATTTTTTGTATTTTTAGTAGAGACGGGGTTTCGCCATGTTGACCAGGATGGTCTTGATCTCTTTACCTCGTCATCCATCTTCCTCGGCCTCCCAAAGTGCTGGGATTACAGGTGTGAGCCACCACTCCCGGTGAAAAATCTTTTATAAAAATACTGAGTACTGTGGTTTAAAAAAATGATCAGAATAACATTTTTGAGCACTCTGAAAACTAAATGATTGTAGCAATAGAGAGAATACTGGATATTAGCAAGAATAGTGAGGATATAAACAGTTATTTTGCTCTGTTTATATCCACTCCTCTGAAGCTGTATGTGTTAGCCTTAAAAACCAACATCTGACAAATATTAAAAATAAACAAGCACTCAGGGAAGATATAGTGGCTCGTGCCTATAATTCTAGTGCTTTGGGAGGCTTAGTCAGGAGGATCATGTGGGGCCAGAAGTTTGAGACCATCCGGTCAAAAGAGTGAGACCTGTCTTTACAAAAATTAAATTATCCGAGCAGGTGGCATACACCTGTAGTCCCAGCTACTTGAGGCTGAGGTGGGGGGATCCTTTGAGCTCAGGAGATCAAGATTGCAGTGACTTATGATTATGCCACTGTACTTCAACCTGGGTTACAGAGCAATACCCTGACTCAAAATTATTATTATTATTATTTTTGAGACAGAGTCTCAAAATCCACTGGACTACAGTAATATGACCTTGGCTCACTGCAGCCTCTGCCTTCTAGGTTCAAGTGATTCCTGTGCCTCAACCTCCCAAGTAGCTGGGACTACAGATGTTGCACCATCACCCCTCGCTAATTTTTTGTTTGTTCATTCTTGTATTTGTATTTTTGGTAGAGGCAGGGTTTCTCCATGTTGGCCTGGCTGGTCTCTTAACTCCTTGAGTGGCCTCAAGTGATCCACTCGAATTGGCCTCCCAAAGTGATGGAATAACAGGCATGAGCCACCACATCCAATACCCCACTTAGTAGACTATTTACTTAAACTCTGAACTTCCATAGTATGATCAGCCTTCTCCTTTGGGTTGTTGGTTGAAAATTTCAGAGACAGCTGTTGAACATCACTGGTTTTTGAGGCAATACATACAGTTAGGGCAAACAATAAAGATCCTGAAACTTAAAAGGAATGAAAAGTCCAGTAGTAGAATGAAAAGTCTAATGGACTTTAAATAGCTGGGAGATGTTCCTGATAATCTTAAATATGATAATGCCCGGTCTGCGGCCCTGCAGAAGAAAACCTTGGCAAGGCCTTAGGCCCACACCTTGTCTTCAAGGTCTGCCCAAATAAGAAGTAAAAACCAGTGTAGGCCACGCACAGCGGCTCGTGCCTGTAATCCTAGCAGTTTGGGAGCCCGCAGCAGGCAGATCATGAGTTCAACAAATCGAGATCATCCTGGAAACCCTGTCTCTACTAAAAATAGAAAAAAATTAGCTGGGTGTGGTGGCATGCGCCTGTGGTCCCAGCAACTCAAGAGGCTGAGGCAGAAGAATCACTTGAACCTAGAAGGTGGAGGTTGCAGTGGGCTGAGATTGTACCACTGAACTGCAGCCTGGTGACAGAGCAAGACTCCGTCTCAAAAAAAAAAAAAAAAAAAAACCAGTGTATAAACAGACTGAATCAATATTTCAGTCTGCATGTGGAGCCAAAAGTTGCTGGTTCTGCACATCTCTGTCAAGTCATAAGCCAAATACTTACCTAACTAGATAGACTTTTAAATTGCATACACT